CACCAAGGAAACGCAGGCCGATCCACACCCGCTCTGTGATGTGGTCGTGCTGGATCTCGCTCAGGGCCAGGAGCCGCTCGGTCTCAGAGTTCAGGCTGGTGAGGTCAGTGTGAGTCTCTCTGCAGTGCTCCAGAGCCTCCTCCCAGGTCTTCTTCACCTCATCCACCATCAGGTTGAAGCAGAAGAAACGGTCATTGTACCTATAGGAACTGTAAAAACCATTCTTGTTCCAAATCATGTATCTGCCTTGTGAGTCAAATGAAAATCTATCAGTTTTGGTAGCATTTGCTCCTCCTGACCACGACCACTTAGTGGGGCTTTTCTCATTGAAGTACAGGCCGATCCATCCTTCAATCCAAAACGAACTTTCAAAAAATAAACGTCTGAACATTTGATACTCCACCTCATTGGAGATGGGAGACAGGTCGGTGTGGTGTTTCCTGCAGTATGTCTGAGCGTCCGGCCAGGTTTTGAAAAAATGGATGAAAACATGTTTTGCTGAGAAACTGCTCACACTGATGAGAATGAGCGCTGTAAAGAGAATCCTCTCCATCCTGTTTCGGTCTGTTTTGTCCTCTCTGTTTTGTCCTCTTTGTGTTGAACCTGATATGCTTAAGACAGAATAAGAAACGTTTGCATACAATTAAACATTACCTTACGCGTCTCCTCAAACTATTCAAATTATGTTCCAACAGAACAAACTATCTCAAGGTGGAGATTAAAATGTGCTGCAGCTTTGTCTATCCCGAGTGACAAACAAATCAGCAAAATAAAAAAAAGGCTGGTATAGTAACTTCATTTTGAAACTCACACTGACCATTTGTGTTCATTAATTCATTTTTATAGTTATATCACCTATTTATGACATATGTTATATAAAGAGACTACAGGTGTTAAAACATTTAGCAAAGTAGCAGTGGCAAAGAAAAACTTCCTTTTAACAGGCAGGAACTTCGAGTAGAACCAGACTCATGTTGAGCAGCTTTCTGTCAGTCCGGGACTGCGATGAGCTTGGAAAAGTGGAAAAGATGGATATACAGAAATATAGAAATGGAAAGAGACAAACACATGCAGTCCAATTTTGGTGACATTCTGATCTTGTTTTGCAGAGATACATGTGATAAGTAGGAAGCGTTCCTTTCAGAGAAGCCTTCATTTTCACTATTTTCAGTTTTTGTATTTATGG